GGAAACAACTACCTCAACAAGACCCCTAAAGGACAAAATGTAAAATCAGTAATCAATAAATGGGTTCATGTCAATCTAAAAAGCTTGTTCACAGCAAAGGAAACAAGAGTGTGAAGGCAGAGCCTACAGAATGGGAGAAAATCTTTACCACCTGCACATCAGAGAGAGTGTTAATTTCCAGGATATACAAAGAACTCAAAATACTTAACACCAAAAAGCAAATGACTAAATCAATAAATGGGCAAAGGAACTAAACAGATACTTCTCAAAAGAAGAAATATGAATGGTCAACAAATATTAAAAATATTCATTATATCTAGCAATTTAGAGAAGTATGAATTAAAACTACACTGAGATTTAATCTCACTCCAGTTAGAATAGAAATTATGAAGAATAAAAGTAACAATAAATGTTGGTGAGGATGTGGGGCGAAAAGTTACTCTCATTGTTAGTAGGACTGCAAATTGCTGCAACCACTATGGAAAGCAGTATGGAGGTTACTCAGAACACTTGGAATGGAACAACCATTTCACCCAGCTATCCCACTCCTGGGTTTATACCCAAAGGACTTAAAATCAGCATACTACAGTCACACAGCCACATCTAACAGCCGAATTAACAAAAGTTAAGCTATGGGACTAACCTAGGTGCCCATCATAAGGAAAATGTAGTTTATATACACGATGGAATATTACTCAGCCACAAAAAAAGAATGACTTTGTGACATATTCCAGGAAATGGATGAATGTGGAGATTGTCATGCCAAGTGAAATAAGCCAATCCCAAAAAAACCAAAGGTCAAATGTTCTCTGATTTGTAGATGCTAACACACAACAATAAAGGTGGAGAATAGAAGTTCGATGGATTAGACAAAGGAAAATAAAGTGAAGAGAAAGGGAATAGGAACAGAAAAGACACTGGAATGAATCTGGTGAAACTTTTGTATGTTCATATATGAATACACCTTAGTGAATCTCAATGGCATGTACATACACAAGACTGGAATTCTAATTAGAATCAGATATACTCCATGTATGTATAAATATATCAGAATAAACTCTACTGTCACATATAACTAAAAAGAAAAATTAAAAAGTATTTTATCCTACTCACAAGCTAATAAAGTAAAACATCAGTTTTTCCAGGTACTAGCTGAAGTAATAAAAATCTTTGTTCATATACAAAGAACATCTTATTAATTATAGCAACAGCAACAGCCTGAATATTAGCATTTTTACCTAAGATTCCTAGACCCTGCTTCACACAGTGTGATGCATAATGGTCACACGACAACAACATACACATTCACATACATTGCAGGAAAGGAAACTTGAGTTTTAGTAGCCTCAGTCTTAAAATTGCAATAAACATGTCTTCCCTTTATTTTATTTTCTCTTATTTTTAATCTTTTTTTATTGTTTTCTTGAGTGTAGAATGTCCTTCCAACAATATGTGAAAAAGGTTGCTAGTAATAGGGGGTCATCTTCAAATATACTAGATAATGGCAAAATCCTCTCCAGCTTCAACTTCCAAGAGTACACAGGATCTCTTCTATTTGTTTAACTGATCAATATATATTTTCAAATATTATGCATGTTGCTGATCCACTGTCTAGGAAATTATGTAATTGTATCTTTCATTTTCCTGATTCTTGATGAGATTCATATTCAAAAAATATTAATTGAGCACCTACTATATTTCGGGAACTCTTCTTAAGTAGTTGGGATACATTGATAAATATAAAGGGAGAAAAACCATGCATTTTCAGTGCCTTATATTCTAGTAGGAGAAACAGTAAGCATATTAATTAAATGAATTATATAATTCATTAGAAGATGATGTATGCTGTGGAAAAGATAGAATAATGTGACAGGAGGCAGATTAAAGCAGTCTATATTAATTAACCATATGGCCGCTATTTTCTGAAATGGCTATTCACAATTTTTGTCCAGTTTTCTGGACAGTTTGTCTTATTGTTTCATTCAGTGTGTCTATCATAGTTTGTAGCCAAATATTGTTTTTCCCTGCTTTGTTTGTGATGACTTTTGTAATTAAGAAGTTCTCCCTTTTATTATAATCATATTTATCAAAAAATTTCCTTCATGATATATACATTTTGTGCTTTTAAGTCTTCCCCACTGCCTGACTCCAAAATTAAATATTCTCTTACATTTTCTTCTAAATGTTTTATACATATTGCTTTTATTATTTGGGTAATAACATTATCCATTTGAAATTCATTGTGTGTATAAAGTATAAAGGTATTAATTTTCTTTCTTGACACATGTATGACAAATTAATCTAGCACCACTATTGAGCAAAATATTTTTTCATCAATAATTTGAAATGCCACCTCTATTATAATTCAAGTTTCCTACGTGCAAGTGTGTTTTTGAGATCACTTCTATGTTCCATTAACATATTTGATTTTCCTGAATTAATTCACAATCTTTAGACTGTCCTCTGGAGTTGCCAGATTGATCTTGGTAAAATATGAAGAAAAATATGTCACACCTCTGTTATAAATATCTAAATGTTCATTCAATGCAAAAAACAAATTCTGTTCAACATATTCCAAACTAAATGACTCTAAGCTATCTGACTCCCTATCCCGATGACCTTTCTGAGATCACCTCCTGCTAATCTCTATGTTGCTCACTCAGTTCCATCCATGATGCTATCCTATCTGCTCCTCCTCAACTACTCCAGGGTTCTCCTGCTTTGAGTTCTCAGCATTTGCTCTCCCTCTACCTGGAGGGGCAGCTACAGGACCAGTTTTCAAATTACCTTCAGGTCTTCACTCAAAACTCAAGTTCTAAGTGAGGCTCTTCCCTGGCCACCCTCTCTCTCTCTAATTGCAGTCTTCTCCCTAAAATTTCATTTCTCCATTCCTTGACTTTCTTTTCTTCATAGAATTGTCACTATGAAATTCCTTTGTATTTGCTTATTTATCTTGGCTACTGCTTGTTTCCCATGCTAAAATGAAAGTTCCAGGAAAGTAAGATCTTTTTATGTTTCCTTTGTTTATTACTGTATTGTACATACGTATGCCTAGAAGAGTGCCTAGCAGAGAGCCCACCCTGAAGTAAGCATTTCTGGGATAAAAATAAAACAAATGAATTAAGAAATTAATGGGGTCAAAGCAAGAAAAACAGGGGCAGATTTTCCTAGGTTCAGCCCTAAAGTTACAAATACACTTCCACTGTACAACTGTGCATCATATTAGAATGAGGTAGGCCAGCTGGGGACATGGTCAGCTGAAGAGGCTATTCTGACACTAAAATGAGCTGAGGTCTGCCACAAACCCAGCTGTGTGTATCCTTGTTAAAATGTGGACCCCCATCATTTGTTTCTTTCATTTGGCTTTCAGAATCCAGAAATGATTTACATTATGGGAACTCTCCCAAATGTCTAAAGTACATAATTTAAAATAGAAAATAATAAAAACATATAGCAGAACAAAACATGACAGCTGGCTGATAGTATAATTTAGTGAAGGGTGTAGATGTGAAAAGCAGAGAAAGGATTTTGAGAGAAACTTCAGGAAAATGGGAAAAGACAAGACAAAGAGGAAGAGAAGGACACAAGTCAGTACAGTAGACACCATAATTCTGAGGGACTTCACTTTTTCACCAACCATAACCACTCCATGTGGCATTATAAAGCCAAAGGAATTAGTTATACAAAGTCACAACGCCCATACTGAATGCCCATGACACCTATATCACTTAGAAACAAAAAGCTACACAATATTCCACCAAGGCTCCATGCAAGCTTAAAAGGATCAAGATTGGTAAAGAAATATCAGTGACGGGATCAGTAGTCACTGATTTTGTGTTTGTGTGGATCTAGCCAGAATAAGACTCCAGAAGGTAGAGGATCTCCTTTCGTTGAAGCACTGAATAGAGCCACTTGTGGCAGTAGGAAGCTACTGAAAGAAGCACGGACAGTTCCACGCCATGAAGATATATTAGGCTTAATACTCTGATGCCTCTCCTCTCTAGGAAGACAAAGAACATTTCAAATGAAGGAAGAACAGTGATGGGACTGCTACACAAGGATCCAGCAATATTCTGTTCTTCCAGATAAAATATATTCCAAACTCAAGATGGCATCTCTAAAGTTCTGAGAACACCATTCTTTTCCACAATTATTGGTTATCCAGTGTAAGGGAAATGAATCATGACCTTCAGGTCCTAGATTTACCATTTCTAGGTCCTCTGGGAAATACACAAAGAGGCAGCCCATAGCCCAGAGCTTATGTTAGTATATTTAGTCTGATGACCAAGGTTCTGCTTGGCAGGTGTTGCATAAACTCACTGAAAGAAGAAAAGTCTTGTAGGTAAAAACTTGGCTCCAGATTAACTAGTCTGAGTCATCTTGATCAAATGCCCTTCTGGGGAGCCTCTAATATATTTGCCTTGAAAGTTGCTGTTTCCTTTGTATAAAGAGTCAAAGAGGGCAATGTGGATACTGCTAGGAGTACAACTTTTTCCTGGATCTTCCCGTCCCTTATGAGCCCCACTCCCTATAAGTGTTTTTTTTCTCCTGTGTTTTCACTCCTTTAGTCAGTCTTCCTTTCTGGAATTCCTCTTTCTGCTGTACCTCTCCCTTTCTGGCCACCCATACATACACAAACCATCCCTTTTTATGTTCTTTAGCATCCCCCTCATCTCCATCTACCAGCTTGATCCTTTTCCCCCTGAATGGACATTTTCTAAGTTTGTGCCCATCTTCTATTCATATTATTTTTCTCTAATCCCCAAGATCTTACTCTTATTCTTCACTACCTTCTCAACTTAATGTTTCCCTTCTCCATAAAGCCTCCCACTTTGGGGACTTTCTTTATCACTTACCAAGCAGTCACCTCCTCCTTGCCCTTCCCCAACAGCCTATCTCCTATTTTTTCCTTTCCCTCCTTAGACCCAGACCAGCTAAGTGCCATTCCAGTTTCAGACAACTGATTATGATACTAGGTGAACTTTATTTACAGTCTGAGTTTACAGCTTTTCCTTACATGCTTCGTCCACCAAACACACCCAATCTTTACAACAAGACAAAATGCTTACATACAGCATGTCCTGTCCACATAAATTTGTATTTTTAAGAATAAAACAATAATTATGCTGGCAAAGATGTAGGTTATCAAGGACCCTTAGGCTTCCAATACCTTGAAAAGTTTACACTTTTTGCATATATATATAAATTATACATTTGCCTCCCCACACTTGGCAGATTTTACCCTAGTAGGACTTTTTGACCAAATCATAGACATAGATGTGGAAATCATCATCAAACTTGATGAAATACACAGAAGGTTTGGCTTTAACTTGAAGAATGACTTTGCCTGACCTTTTGGAGCCATCTTCTTTGGTATATTCCACATGTTTACCTATCAGGCCATCTATAACTCCTTCTGGCTCCCTTTCTGTTGGAGAAGACTCACTGGACTCTGGCATGATACGGAGGTCACCTTCTTTATAATCATCTAGAAGCTGGTACATGTACAGGACAGGATCTTTCTCATAGGTAATATAAAACCAGGTTTTCATGATAGGTGCTTGGGCTAGGACCATCCCCCTCCATTCATCCTTAGAACCATGCTCACCCTCAAACATGTGTTCCACTGCTTTCCCAATTATAGTATTTTCAAAGTGCACATCTCTGACTTGAAAAAGTGGCACCTTATCAGGAAGGATTTTAAGCTTTAAAATCCTTTCATCTCTGTGAAGTTCCAGTCCATAGACACAGTCAATTCCATCATATTTCACCAGATAAAGAGAGGGATTTATAGGCACCTGATCCAAAACAGTTCCTTTCCACTGGGTGATGGGCTCATCACTTTCCTTCCATCCATGAGAAATTCTGCAGCCCACGATGTTCCTCTGGGACTGTGAAGATCTCCTCCTCTGCTTCTTTTGTGAGGCCTTTCTCTTCCTGAAGGTTGTAGAATTGGTGTGGTGACCTGGAGCCTCCCTGGTTTGCTGTCTTGCAGCTGTCTTTTTGTGGTGCATTTTCATTCCTGCAATGGGAGGAAAGAAGCTAGAGAGAGACATTCTATGTAATATAAAGTGAGGGTTTTTTCTCTGTATTGCCAAGTCCTTACACACAAGGTATATTGCTGCACAAGCTATTCATATGTGTCCTGTAGCAATATTAGGTATCAATACACCCTAGGGTGCCTGCCCTCATTCCAGGCTTATTTGGCTGCACAAGAAAACTAAGCAGGTTGCTGTGGTGGTCCTGGTTGCTGGGACCCCAGATGGGATCTTTTGAATATCTCCTGATCCCCTGTCCCCATTCTAGCCCCACAAACACATTCACCATTTCTAGCCCTAACTTCATCTCTCCATTTCAGTACAAGCAGTCCCCATGTCTCCTCTCCTTAGCCCCCTACTGTTCATTCATTATTCCTGTCCATACCCATGCAGGCTACCTGGTGCTCATTTCTCCTTCATATCTATTCCTGGCTATCTACATTTTACCACTGGTGCTCGCACCAAAAATTCCCTTTCTGGCCACCTCTGTACACCATCCTAGTATTCCTCACCATCACCATCTGCTCCCAAATTACCCTTCCCGGTTTCCCTCATCTCAAACCCATCATTCTTTCCAATGTTCCTGCCAATTTTCCTACCAACCCCTCAGTTCAGCGCCCACCTCCCCACCGTCTGGGATCCAGTTCTTCACGTGTCCCAATCGGACACCTCACTGCTGCCTTGGCTGTAAGCCTGTGATGCAGGAGGCGCAGCAGGCGACCAGCCGAATGAGTGTTTACAAGAGGTGAGGGGCGAAGATTCTGAGGCAAGAAGCTTGTGTAGGAGGGCGGCGGTGGAGTCCCCAGCGCTGGGATCGCTCGCCCTCAACCTCGGTGTCAGCAGCTGCAGCACTTCTGCCACACAGAGGTTTTTCCACCAGGGGCTGCTGCCGCTGCAGTCTCCTCCCTCTTTTCTTAGCGCAGCTTCCTGCCAGAAGAGAGGCCTCCCCTTCCTGCCAAACACAGCCCGACAATCCCCTCCCCGACCCCCACCCCCAGCCACTGGCCTGCGGGAGGGAGTGCAGTGGGGGGGTGGGGTCGTGCAGCTGGGCGCTAGGCCCCGCCCCTTCTCCAAATCAGTAAACTCAGGGCCTAGAACCACCACCACCACCCCCGCCCCCACTGTCTGGTGTCTCCTCCTCCAGTTAGGGACTCCCAGGCTCCCCACCCCCACTTCCAACTCCACCCACTCAGGGCCTCTACCCCATCTGCTTTTCTTCTTCCAGGAATTTGCTGCTTCCTGCCTCCATGCCTTTACAGAGTTACTTAAATACCAAAACCTGCCTTTCCTATCATTTAAGGGGATTAGGAATATGAGAGAAATTGGTGTTCAATGCTGACTGCCATTTTGACCTAATCTGTAAATTTAACTGACTGCTCATTCCTGGGCTTGATTTCATACGGATACTTTTTCCTTTTCTCTTTTTCCCTGATTGCAGAATTGCATGCACAATGTGAGAAATGTGCAAAATTCAGAAAATTGACTTGAAAAAAAATCAACTTCCTTTGCTTCCCATTCCCCAGAGCTCACAGCAAAATAGCACTTTTTTTTTTCCTGTGCTCTTAGAAAGCTTGCACCATTTATGCAAATTAAGTTTTTTTAAAAATTCTTTGTAAAATAATTTTTAGTGGATAATTTGAAAAAAAGTTGAGTATATATAGCAATATTAGAAGTACTAAGTACTCTCCATTGAGAATTAACATTTATTTTTATTTGAACTCTTAAAATGGAAATAGTATATTACCAAAAATATCTAAGTCTGTTTTATACTCCAGCACAGATCCTGTTCTTTTCCTGAAGTGGCACCCCATTTCTCCACAGAAAAGACTTAACTGGGCTTCTCCAGAATTCTTCTCCATGGCTGATTTTAGGACTGTCAGCAAAAGAATCTCTGCAAAAAAGTTCAATGTAGATAAACTTCCTATTTTTGTGTTGCTCTGTTTTACTTGGCCACTCGCTGAAAAGATACCAGTACTCCAGGTGCTGGACATCTCCTTACTAGTTTTTCACAAACATATCCAGTATAGAAGTTTGTAGAAATGTGCAAACAAGGCCTCTGGCCTTGAGCTGGGCTTCACAGAGATGTCTACATTTCTAAGATAAAAGAAGTTACCAACTGGGCTCCATGGTAACAGCTGGCAGGGGGAAGAAAGAAAGGGGAGAAGAAGCTCTCCCCTTCTCAGGTGTTGTCCTTGAAGGGTTAACTTGCCCAGAACAGTGGAAGAAAAAACTGCTTTTATGTGAACTTCTGCAGACTGTAAACTTTTTAGCCCTTCCCCTTACATGCAGGGTATAAAACTCAGAAACTCCCTGAACTCGGGGTTCAGGGGATTGATTGATTACAGCAAAATCTGTGCCCTCTGAACCTGGCTGCAGCCAAATAAAACTGTTTCCTGCTATCTTCGGTGCCTTGCCTCCTTTGTCCCTACAATATTCCCCCCCTTTCAATGCTAAGATTCTTAAGATGCACAGTAAGTTAATTTTAGACACATACATACACACACACACACACACACACACACACACACATACATGCTGTGTGTTTTATCACTCAATAATTTTTAAATGCATCTTATGAAAGATTTTATATATAATCTCTTTAATGACCCACACCTGAGATTTCTATGAGATGGTTCTAGGTTTTTATTACCCAAGTATACACTACACAACTGATAAGAGTGTGACAACACTGTGCTTTGTAAAACTAAGCAATCCTGTACTTGTCATATCTAAAATATATTTCTCTAACTAGATAAATCCATTTTTAAGGATATTCAAGAAAATGTTTATTTCTTGGTGATCACTTTGCCAGCAAGCCTAAAATAGAACTCTGAAATGGCTCATAATCCAACTTGTCTAAATTTAAAATGCAGATGTTATCACATTGAATTATTTTCTGCAGCTTGCTTTTGTCATTCACTATTTTGTTGTTGTTGTTGTTGTTTTTAATTTTCTCTGCTTGTCTCTAACATTCCTTGTTACATTCAAAGACTGTTGGAGAGTACATATGTGACATTTTTTGAATCATAGAAAAATAAATTCAAACTTCCATTCTATTGTTGATCATTTTGGTTCGTTCTTATAAACAATGCTGAAATTAATATTGTTGTGTACTCTTACCTGAGTTTATGTAGAGTACGCCCCAGAATGACAAATGGTGAGTTGTTAGTGTAACTTCTTCAAGTTTTCTAAATACTAAGTTGTTGTGTTGAGTACACCAAATCATGGTATAATATAATCAGATTATTTGTATTTCATGTTCCCCATGTCCTAGTCAATCTTCAATTTTTTACATTTTTAGTTTGTGCCAAAATAATGGGTATAGAATGAGTATTCATTATTTTAACTTACATTTTCTAATTATTACTGAATTTGAACTTATTATTCTGTTTTGTTTGGCTTTCACTTTTCCAATTGTGCAACTTTTTTATGCTTTTGAGATGTTTCTCTTTCTTTCACCCATTTTTACATTTATATACTGTTAGCCCAAACTGTGGCAATTTTCACACATTCTATATAAAATTTTCTTTTAATTATAGATCAAATGCTGACATCCATTACACTTTTAATTTATTATAACATTATAAGTAAATTAAGCATTCTCAATTACAGTTGTTTAACTCCCATAATTATTCAAAACCCATGTTTTGAATTGGCTATTTAGTCTTTTCTACATGTTCATAGAAAATATACATTAGATATTACTGACTGTTATTGACTATTAGATAAACTTCAACCTTACCTTTCTTTTGTTTTCCATATGTTTATTGATACATTATATTTATACATAATAGTGGGATTGGTTATTATAAAAGTGCATGGGCTCTCTCTTGTCCAATGAGGAGGTCCACAGAACAGGGTAGAGGAGAGTGTGGCTGTGGAGTCACTAATCAAGATCTCTGGAGACCAAGCTGGAATCAAGTATGATCTTATTGCACAGTTACCATGTATATATACTCAGGCAGTAGCTAGGCAGATTACAGGCAGCCACCAATACAATTTCTTCCTAACTGTCCTTGCAGCAACCAATCGAGGAGTGGGCCGTGGAACAAGCACCGGGACTGCAACACATGACCTCATGCCCAGGGCTGTGCCTATGGGGTAAGGGGTCTGCCACACACACGCCTAGCATGAGGGGAGTGGCCTGCCACTCAGATGCCCTTAATGTATGCCATGTACGCAGTACTCCATGCACTTGTCCCCACATATAAGCACATATACAACAATTTGGTCAATGTTTTTCACAGTGTTTTAGTCAACTTTTTCACCACTGTGACCAAAAGACCTGACAAAAAAAAAATTTAGAGGAAGAGAAGTTTATTATACACTCACAGGTTCAGCAATCTCAGTCCATAGACAGTCGACTCCATTGCCTTGAGCCTGGGGTGAGGAATAACATCGTTGTAGAAGGGTGAGGATGATGAAAGCAGCTCAGACATGGCAACCAGGAAGTAGACAAGGCTCTCCTCACCAGGGACAAAATATATATAAAGTCACACCTGCCAGTGACCTACTTCCTCCAGCCATTCCCTACCTACCTATACTTACTGCCCAGATAATCCACATCAGTTAAGGCTCGCATAACCCAATCATCTCACATCTAAACTTTCTAGCATTTTCTTACACATGAGCTTTTGGGGGAACACCTCATATCTAAACCTTAACACCCAGCATTTTCCATTTCCATCCCCTTTTCCCTCCCCTGGTTCCTTTTCTCTACTCTACTAGTGTCCCTTCCATTTTCATGAGAGCCCCCACTTTTTTTTCTCTAGGTTCCACATATGAGAGAAACATATGACCCTTGACTTTCTGAGTTTGGCTTATTTTGCTTAATATAAAATTTATATTTCATCCATTTTCATCCATTTTCCTGATATTTTCTTATTTATGCCTGAATAAAACTCCATTGTGTATACATAGCACATTTTCATTATCACTTCATCTGTTTTTTTTAAATTGGTGCTTTTTTAATATATATAATTTTTAGTTGCATATTAACACAATACCTTTATTTTGTTTATTTATTTTTATGTGGTACTGAGGATCAAACCCAATGTCTCACACATGCAAAGCAAGCGCTCTACCACTGACCTACAGCCCCAGCCCTCACTTTATCTGTTGATGGACATCTAGGTTGGTTCCACAATTTGGCTATTGTGAACTGTGCTACTGTAAACATGAGTATTTGTGTTGCTTTAGGATAAATATCAAGAAGTGGTCATATGGTGGTTACATTCCTAGTCTTTTACTAGTTTACAATCCCACCAACATTATAAAAGTTTTTCTTTTCCTCACACTGTATACAGCATTTACTGCTGTTTGGATAATTCATGGCTGCCATTCTACCCGTAATGAGATGAAATCTGAGTGCAGTTTCAATTTGCATCTCTCTGATGGCTAAAGATATTGAACATTTTTGCATATATTTGTTGTATATTTGTATTTCTTCCTTTGAGAAGTATCTGTTTACTTCATTTGCCCATTTATTCACTGGGTTTTTTTGTGTGTGTGTCTTTTGAGGTTTTCTGGGGTACCAGGGATTGAACCCAGGGTGATTTAACCAATGACCCACATCAGCAGACCTTTTTTATGTTTTAATAGAGATAGGTCTCACTGAGTTGCTTAGGGCCTCACTAAGTTGCTGAGGCTGGCTTTGAACTCATGATCCTCCCGCCTTAGCCTCCCAAGTCACTGGGATTGCAGGCAGGTACCATCATGCCCAGCTCCAGTTGGATGGTTTTTTTTTTGTTCATTTATTTTCAATTATTTGTTCTAATTAGTTATACATGATAACAGAATGCACTTCTATACATAGTACACAAATGGAGCACAATTTTTAATTTCTCTGGTTGTACACAAAGTACACCAT